GTTGTGTCTTCGTTTTCGCCCTAGCGGCCTAGCCAAGCAGCTGGACCCATTGAGTGTTGAGCATGTTCCGCTCGTTTTGGATAGCACAGTCCAGGGTCAGGGTTGTATTCCGTCAGGGAGAGGGAGAGAAACAAAAAGAGGGTGGATGGACGGAGGAAGGGAGGGAGGGAGGTGAGAGAGGGATAGCGAGCGAGAGAGGAGAAAGAGAGAGAGGAAGAACGAGAGAGAGAGAGAAAGAAAGAACGAGATAGACAGGGAAAGAGAGAGAGAGAGAAAGATAGAGAGAGAAACGAGAGAGAGGGGGGGCAACTATGTATGTGTATATGTGCACGCATAGTATATGTATGTGTATATAAAAATATGTATATTAATATGACTACTAATATTATTTTTAATTTATTTACATATATATATATATATATGTGTGTATATATATATATATATATATATATATTATCGGAGTAGACCTGGGGAGGGCCCAGACCTGCTACCTCTGGTTCGCATGGGGGGCCCGGGGGGCCTTGCGGGCTCCAAGAGGGTTCAGAAGGGGCCCCGGACCCCCCCAGAGGCTCCCAAGCTGGCCCAAGAGGCGCCCAAAGCGCCCCAGGTTGTCTGGAAGGTGACTGAAGAACGCACTGAGATGGCTTCCGGACGGGCCACGAGCGCTCGAAAACAGCCCAAGACTGCTCCTAGAAGACATTCAAGACGGTCCAAGAGGCCGCCGACGAGGCCCTCCAAGGGCAAACATCAAACATTTCCGATGAGACACGTATATTTCTTGGATATTTGCTTTTCAGTCCTACCAGCGGCCGCGGCGGCCCCAGGGGCTCCCAAAATGAGCCCCAGACGGCCCAAGAGGCTCCCCAGAGAGCCCCCAGACGGTCTGAAGAGAGCTTCAAGCAGCACAAGAGAGCTCCAACACGGCCCAAGAGAGTACCCAGGAACCCTGAGGGGGCCACCTGAGGATCCCTGCATGGTCGGAGAGGGCCCCAAGACGGGCTCAGGTCCCCATGACCGGCGAAGAGGGACCCAGAACGGCCGAACTGGGCTCCCAGAGGGTTCAAAAAAAGCCTACCAGGACTCCCTGAAGACGGTCCAGGAGGCCGCTGAGAAGACCCCAGGGCGCAAAGAACTAACATCTCCAATGGAAAAACGTACATTTCTATGAGATTCGCTTCTCATGTTCCATCGGCGGAAACGTCGGCCCCAAAGGCTCCCCAAATCGGCACCACACGGTCCACGAGGCCCCCAAGAGGGCTCCACGACAGCCTCAAGAGAGCGTCGAGCAGCACAAGAGAGCTCCAAAACAGCCCGAGAGAGTCCCCAGGGGGCCCGAGGGAGCCACCGGAGGATCCCTACATGGTCGGAGAGGGTTTCATGGGCCCCAAGACGTCTCAGCTACCCATGACATGCCCAGAGGGGCTTGGGACAGCCGAAATGGGCTCCCAGACGGGCCACAAAAGTCCCCAAATGACCCCCCCACGACTGTCCAAGAGGCCGCTGAGAAGGCCCTCCAAAGGCAAAAATCAAGCATATCCGATGGAAAAACGCATATTTCTGGGAGCTTCGCTTCTCAGTTCTACCAGCGGTCGCGACGGCCCAAGAGGTTACCAAAATGAGCCCCAGACGGCCCCAGAGGCCCCAAAGAGGGTTCCAAGATGGGCTGAAGAGCTTCAAGCGGCACAGAAGAGCTGCAAGACGGCCAGAGAGAGCCCCCAGGAAGCCCGAGGGGGTCACCAGAGGATTCCCACATGGTCGGAGAGGGCCCCAGGAGGGCCCCAGGACGGGCTGAGCTCCCCACGACGCGCCGAGAGGGACCCGGAACGGCCGAAATGGGCCCTCAGACGGGCCAACAGCAGAGGCCCCAAAGGTCTCCAAAGGAAGGCCCGGAGAGGCTCCAGAGATTGCCACTCCAAAAAGGCTCACGGCACGCGTTCCAGTAGGCACTCGTGTGTTGGGTGCGTTCAGAGAAAACAGGAGGAGGAGGACAAGGAGGAGAAGGAGAAGGAGGAGGAGTAGGAGGAGGAGGAGGAGAAGGAGGAGGTGGGAGAGGAGGAGGAGGAGGAGGAGGAGGAGGAGGAGGACGGGGAGGAAGATCAGGAGGACCAAGAGGGGGAAGAGGAGGAGGGATATTGTTCTTGTAAGATTATATCATTATCTGTTTCTCAGGCTCGGGGAGGGATGCTGAGGACGAGGAGGGAAGGGGAGCGCAGGATGAAGAGGGCTCGAGATGAGGAAGGAGGTGAAGTAGGTGAAGGAACACAAGGAGGGACACACCGAAGAGCGGGGAAGGCGGGGAGGAGGAGGAGGAGGAGAAGGAGGAGGAAGAAGAGGAGGAGGAGGAGGAGGTGAAGGAACAGGGATCCCTTTCAGGGAGACGCCGACGAGGAAAAGGATGAGTATAATATGATGAGAAGAGGGAGAACGGGAAGAGGAGGAGGGTAAGGGGACTGCAGTGGATCGGGGATGATGACGGCGATGACGCTGATGATGATGACGATGACTATGCCGACGACGACGCCGACGACGACCAACAATATGTTGATAATGCGGATGGTGATGCTGAAAAGTACGATGACGATGATGGCGATGGTGATCATGATGTTGATGATAATGATGATTGTTGTGATGGTGATGGTGAAGGTGACCATGACCATGACGATGACGATGACGATGAAGACCACGGGGATGAGGATGACAATGGTGACGATGGTCATGACCCTAGCTAGAACTTGAGCGCGCGCGAAGCGTGCGCGTTGTTTCTAATATAGAGATGTATGTATATATAGATATACACACAAGACTGCATTTGCGCTTCGCGCCATGCACCTTGGTCCTTGAAGTGTGGCATGCAGGCGGAAGGGCAGGCAGGCAATTGAGCGATAACTCCTTGGTGCCATTTTCCGACATCACCGTTGTAATAATGTGTGTTCGTCATCTTCCCTTCATGATTACTTGTCCTTTTCTCCATTTTCGCCCTGCCTTGCGAATTATTCCCCATCCTCAGCTCTTTTTGCGGAGGGTCCTCCTTGTAGAGCTTCTTGGGGGCCTTTTGCTGGCATTATGTCAGGTTTTGAGGGCTCTTTGGGGCCGTCTGGAGGCCTCCCGGCCGGGCGCCTTCTGGGGGCCTCTGGGGGCTTCCTCGGGCCACCCTGCTTCCAACCGCAGTCTCCCTGAACGACCAGGTCACCATGTGGAATGCGTCGGGGGGCACATTGGGGCCATCGTGGGCCGTCATGGGGCTCTCTGCGGACCAGCGTGGAACCCTGTTTTGCCGCCTTGGGCTCTCATGGACTGCTTGGAAGCCCTTTCGGATAGTTTGGGGGCGATTTTCGGGCCTCCTTGGCGGTCTCGGACACCCAGAAGACCGCAGAACATGGCATCCCCCAAATCACGCAACAACTTCGGACAATCACTGTTTTTCTGCGTTCCGAAAGCCTCTGGGGGGTCTCATCTGGGTCGTCCTCGGGCGTCTGGTGGGTGTCCGGGGCCTCCCTGGGGCCCTCGGGAGGCCGCTCGGCCGCCCTCCTGACCGATTCCGGCCCGTTGCCGAGGCTTCGGTCGGGCCTGTCCCTCTACAGGAGGAATATTCAACAATAGTGAAAATAGTCTGGGGACGATGTTTTGAATCTATTGGCATCTGTTTTGGTTATGTTTAACGTGTCACCCCAAATCCCCCGGTATGGGGGACAGGCCCGACCTGAGCCTGGGCCCTGCAGGGGCGTCTGGGAGCTCTGGAGCGCCTGGGGGGGGCCCCCGGGGCCACAGATCCCATGGGTCCGTGTTTTTTTTTTGTGGGGGGGGGGCGGCTTTTCCCGCCTCCCCGGATTGCAAACATATAGAAGGAGGAATAATACATATATATATAAAGAGAGAGAGAGAGAGGAAAGAGAGAGGAACGAGAGAGAGAGAGAGAGACAAAGAGATGGAGAGAGAGAGAGGGAGACAGAAAGACAGAGAGAGAGGGAAGAGAGAAAGAGAGGGGAGGGAAGAGCGGAAGAGAAAGAGAGCGAGAGAGAGAGAGGGCGAGAGTACAGGGAAAGAGAGAGAGAGATCAACATACAAAACAACAAAACAACAATGAAATACGAGCGAGAGAGAGGGAGAGCGTTAAACAGAGAGAGAGAGAGAGACAAACAAAACAAATAAACAACAAAACACGAGAAAGAGAGAGAGAGAGAGAGAGAGAGTCGAGAGAGCGAGAGAGAGAGAGAGAGAGATCGAGAGGTCTAATAGCGTAGATATGCATACAAAAGGAGAGCGAGAGAGGCATAGGTAGACACAGAAACAGAGAGAGAGAGAGTGGGCGACCAGGCAAACAAAACATTACACCATTGGAGACAAGGAAACGAGCGGCACCAAGGACGCGAGCGGCACCGATGGAGCGATGAAGGGAACGATGGAGAAAGGAGGAATCAAGCAAGGGTCAATATAGAGCGAGTCACAGCGGGAGATTGAAATGTATTGAGAGACAATACAGATATATAGATATTGAACTATCTTTATTATATAGATGTGTGTATAGAAGGAGCGAGAAGGAGATGGAGGAACAGTATTAATCAGCAACAGAATCTAGCAACAGGCCGAGAGAGAGAGAGACAACGAAAAGAGGAGCAAGAGATGGAATGCCACCGAGTGGCGGCGATTCGCCAGCCGAGGAAGGGAGCCAGCCGCCTCCGGCAGCTCCGCCACCGTGCCAGCGCACCACTCCTGGCGGCGGGTGCCCGGGGAGGCGAGGGGGCGCCTGCTGGACCCGTCGGGGCAGAAGGCTCGGGCTCCGGGGGTCGTGTGCCCCGCTCCTGGGCCCGCCTCGGGGCTCGAGCTCGATGAGGAGGAGGAGGAGGAGGAGGAGGAGGAGGAGGAGGAGGAGGAGGAGGAGGAGGAGGGGGGAGGAGGAAGAGGAGGAGGAGGAGGAGGAGGAGAAGAAGGAGGAGGAGCTCTCCTGGGGCCTCTCGGGCCGTCTCGGGGGAGTCTTGGGGGAGGCCTCCCGGGCCGTCCTG